ATATGCTGACTCTGTAAACTGCTTAGAGAGGGCTGAAAGCCCTATGAAGCGCTATATAAGTCTAACTGCTATTGCTATTAATAAAAAATAAATAAATAACCAAAGAAATATAGGTCACTGATTTGATCCACTCTTCTCTGCTCTCACTTTTGTATGAATTCCAAAATGATAAAGGATTGATACGATATGTATAAGAGGAACCAAGTAAAATCAATTATAAAAGTCTTTATCAGTAATTTCTTATGTATAGATTTCAAAGTGTTTTCCTGTACAGTATATATATCACCTTTTAAATACAGACTTCCATAAACAACGGATTTAAGATTTATTACCTCTAGTTATTATTGTTGCTATTTTAAAGCTAGTTCAACAAATATATTAATCTTTTTTTTTTCACAATAACATATGCTGTTGACAAAAAGTCCCTGGCATACTCTCCAAAAGGCAAACCGTAGATTGTTAACCAGAGAAGGGAACAGGATACTTCTTGGAAAATATTTCCTCTCTACAGAAAAGCCAGCGCAGCCACTTTAAGCTTGCTAATAATTTGTTTCCCATTTCGCTTGTCTACACAGAATCAACCTTAAAGGGCTTACGGGTACAGCCGGCAAAATAAGCAGCATCAGTCAACCAGGAAATGGGTTTAGCACAAAGGATGTAGACAACGACAAATGCATCTGCAAATGTTCACAAATGTTAACAGGAGGTAAGAGCGGCGTTTTCTCTTCTCTTCCTATTCTCACACTTTTCTATTTCTGTTGGCACTTTGTTTATCCATAAAGTAAAAAGCAGATACATTTGGCCGCGCCAGCTGTTATAATAAAATGGAAAGATCAGAATGACTTGTGTAAGTAAACTAAGGCAAATCTATCAGGATACTATATTAGCAAGTTGCAGTGTTGGGCATGGTTAGTACTTGGATGGGAAACTACCAGCACTAGATTGGGAAGCTGAAAGACTTCCCAGATGCAGTGGCAAAAATCTTCTGTACTAGGCAAAGAAAACTACACAGACATGGCTGTGAAGATATCAGGAGTCGCGCTCCACCAGAAGGAGACTTTATGTTTAGACCAGCTCAAAACATTATAATTGAAAAAGTCATTTTTCAATATCTACTCTGGAGCAGTAGAGAAAATCTGAAAGGATAAAGGAAGAGGCAAGCATAGTCTCATCAGTGCTCACTCTTTTGCACCAATGCAAGACTAAATCACAGCACGATACCACGAGAATGTCATCCAAGATACTGAGAAACGACTCAGGAAATTGGTGAGAATTTAATGAGATCTCAGAATTAGCACACTGGTCCTGGCTCCCTGCGTTTCCTTCCACATGACTGTCTTTAACGAGAGCCATGAAACCCCACAAAGGTTTCACATCAACATCAGCAACTGAATGAAATGCAATGAAAAATTAAACTGATTTGCTTGGAAAAAGTGAGG